TCCCTGCTCCCCTCCCCCTCTCACATCTGCCTTGCACTAGAGTTGACAGCTCCTCCCCAAGTGCAGGGATTGTGGTAGGGACAGGATCAGGACCGCCAGGTCACCATTGCTCATTTCAGGGCCACAGCTGCAGAGAGCTGGAGCCACACCTGAGAGAGGATGTGGTCTACAAGAGAAGGGCACATGGTGGATACCCACGGAGAAGAGATGAGACAGAGGATCCTCCGAGTGTTCTGGACTAGCACAGTCCAAGAAATAAGCTGGGTTCTGCACCATCAGAGCTCTTCAGCCCCTTCAAGGGCTCCCTTGTGTTCTGAAAACTAAAGGGATACTTGTCCAGTAAGCCCTCCCAACAAGCTTCTGGTGGGTGTCTTCCACTGATCATCAAGAGATGTAACACGTACAACATTTTGAAAACAACCAAATTTATTATTTTACACACTGTGTTCCAAAAGGCTCTGCACAGAATGGCACACTTTGTTGGTTCAAATGCCTGTAAAATATGAAGCAGTACGGTGGCTACATTTAGTATATACATTAAGGTAAGTGCTAAAGGAAACTGACATTTTAATAGTAAAGTCCCCCACATCCTGTGTCACCATCTAACTAAACTGCACTTTGCCTCAATGTTCGCATTATCGCAGCACGAGACCATTATTTCCAGGATCAAATCAGAAGACCACGGTGGTGAGGCATTCATTACAAATATATTACATTACCAAATATACCGCATTGACTCTACATCAATTTGAAAAACTCAGGAAATACAAAGAGTGGGAAACTACTGTTCACAGATTCCCCGCGTGAATTTAGTCTGAATCATCACTGCTGAAGTAAGAACTATCGCAGTATTCTGCAGTGTAAAGGAATTTGTGAATGCTTGGGTTCATCTTTGGGATCCAGGATCTGGGAACCAGATATGTTGAAAGGTTGAATAAATCCACAAATACTTTGTATCTGTCACTGGAAAAACATACATGCAGATCGTTAGACTTGTTGACATGAAATATTTAAAAACTTCTTCCCACCCTTGTCCCCAAGACAAGAATCACAAATGGCTAATACTCAAATTTACATATACCTGTTGTACACAGTGTACACAGTGTTGTTGCTGGTTATGCAGCCTTAAGATTTCTCAGGTTTAATACACGTCCAGAGTTCAGGATCATAGCACAGTGTTACTGTCTTTGGCTGATCCAGGACCCTGTGATGCCAACCAAAGCCTGGAATCCCTGTTGAGCTACGTTCATAAAGACAGTGGCATAATTTCCTACCACTGCAGGATCATGTGCAAGGCTATGAATTTAATGTGTACAGAGTTTGTGAAAGTTCACTGGAAATAGTTCAAAAATAAAGGGTAGCTGCCGAGTACCCACTGCAGACTTCAGTACATGAAGAGGACTTCTGGTCTCTTAAGATGCCTGTGTGTGGTTTCATCACTAAATGTATATTTTGTGTCTGTGTTTGTCAGATAGCTGTTTTCAGTGCTGCAGTTTTACAGAGGACAGTCTTGTGCCCTTGCGGTCAAGCAATCCTGGGCTAGAATCCTGCTTCTGCCACCTGTGGACCAGGGCTGGTGGATACAGGATTGAAACCTCCACACGTGAACACGATGTCGTGTTCTGTAAGTGCCTGCGAGTGTTGGCTCTACTGTGGCACAAGTGGCATCGCTCAGCCCCGCACGTGGCTTCCCCGGTGGCGGGAGGTCTCCAGGCCTTACCTCATGGTTGAGCGCAGGTAGTGGTACCCAGAGGAGCCTCCAGTGCCCGCCTTGCTGCCCAGCATCCGGTGCACCAGGCACACATGGTTGTCTAGGCAGACACATGCACTTATTCCACGGCACTTTAGTGCCATTACCCCTACACCATCCTCAAAGCCAAGGACCATAATGATTATTGCCTCTAAGAGAGCGCTAGCGACTTATCACTTGGCCATATGGAAGGGGACCCGCCCAGACACTGTGAGGTCGCCCAGCGCCCCCAGGACTCAGCCTCCTGCAGCTCCTGGGTCAGGTGCTTAGCCCACTAGCCTGTGACCTCCATGAATCCTTGACAGTTTTGCCTTTATGGAACCCTCCCTCCTTTAAGAAAACAAAATGACTGAATAAAAATTTTAAAATTGCATTTACACAGTGGTGAATACATTAGGATTATGGACCATATTAAAACAATTTATTTGATCTAAAGCTGATTTTTCCTTCTGGTTATAAAAATAAATCACAACGTTTTTTTGAGCCAGCAACAGTATTGGAGTAAAGCAGTAGAACGGGAAGGGGCAGCCTTTGGGGTGGGAGGATACTTACACCTCCACTTGGATATGAGCATGTCCACGTCCATGAGGAACGTCAGCAGCTGGAAGGGGACCTGGAATCTGGGCTCCTCCCTAAGGACAAGGAAGAGCAGAGGAAGCAGCCCCATACCCAAGCAAGGCGAGTGTGCTAGCAAGACGCTGGCTTTGCCACTCGAGGGCCCCAGCATCTTTGACATGGTCTATTTCCTCATCCCAAAAATATCATTAGCAATTTGCAATATTAGTTTGATGTTTAGAAAATCATATTTAATACACATAAAGTAACTAATCATACTCAAGATGGATTCTTAACAGAAGGAAGACACACGCACCACCTGGCGCTTCCCCACGAATATGTTTGAAGCTTCAAGATAAACACAGTAAAACATACAAACAAAGCCTACTTATCATTTTTCTCTAAGTTTTTCATAGAATCTTTCATCTTTCTCAGTACATCTTTTTCTTAGGACACGTAAGTTTAAATGACATTCATTGATTTTGAGTTTAAAAGAAGAGTTAAGGATTTTATTTATGTTGACACCCTAGAGAAACAAATTTAAGAGGATTTCGTTTAATTACAGCAATTGGAGGAAATGCACGTCTTGTGAATGCCAGAGCTTGACCCTCTGGGCCAGCCTGTCACCTGTCTGCTCAGAAGTCATTCGGCTGGCTGCCGGGGTGGAGGATGGCGCGCTTGGGGGACTCCGCAACCGCTCAGACAGTAAAGGCAGTCGAGGTAGAGCGAAAGTTTGTGAGAAGTTCTCTCATTTTATAAATCAGAAATAATCCCCAAACTTTGTTTCATGGCAGAACATATTTCATGACCGAGTTTAAAAAAAAAAAAAAAGAACTTTGGTCTTCTAGGACATTTAATGAAGCACAATACTTTCTATAGTTTAATAAAGATGGATAGGTGAATAATTTGCTAATAGGTCTCGAACCTGCTTCAGAGATGAAGTGATAGCTTTGCTTTTTAAACGTTAAAAGTAACTACTGTCTAAATTTTATCAGAAAGCTCAAGTACATATGAAACTAGGATTCCAAGTTACAAGGCTCCTGCTTGGCTCTGTCGCCATCTCTGGCCGCACTGGTGCTGCCAATAGCCACTCCGCCCAGCGGTACCTACCCGCTTCCGCTTGTTCTTACCTGTAGAAATAAATCATCAGTGCTCCCTGCAGAGCTCGGTACGACAGGCGTCTGTCACCTGCAAAGTGCACGGCTTGTTACTACATACAGGCAACGCAAGGCAAAGGCATCCGCTGGCGCCCTTGCTTTGCATAATTAAAGGGTTCATGTGGAAAACAATTTAAGTTTTAGTTTAATATTTTTTGTTTCTTTGTGTGAACTTGGAAAGCTTCATCCAAAACATTATATGAACTCTGGATTCTGAAAGCTGCACAAAATACTTCCCCCTTAGATTCTCACTGCCTTTCAATGTTATTTAAGGGAAACCTGACACCGAAATGTGTGACATCCCCGATAAATACCAACTTCTGACTAAATAGCATGATTTGCTTTTCAAAAAGTTGAAGGAGATGCCTTTCAGCTGCACTTGAAGTAGTTGCGCCTAGCTCACTTAACATGCTTCCGTACGTCGCGGAGCACAGGAGCTGGGTGACATCACAGGGCGCGGGAAGGCTTTCGCCCTCAGGCAGCGAGCACACCCACTCCCCGTTCCTTTAGTCCTTTGGAAAAAGCTAAAATGTTTCAAGCTTAAACAACTTAACTCCACTCTCATATATTGCTGCTCTTCTTAATTGTTATATACATTGACATGTTATTAACACTTTCCTTAATTAGCCTTTTTCTGAAAAGATTTTAAGGGCCTTCACAATAAAAATTCCAAGTCAAAATTCACAGGATAGATTCAGACAAAGAAAAATGGTAGTTGAGTAATGAAGTTACTGATCATAATGGTCAATTAGTTTCAAGAATTAATAACTCAAGATTGTGTCAACATTTGTGCCACAAGTCTGACCAGATCTTTTTCCTAGTCTGCACGGGAAAACGTTTCCTCTGCCTAGCCTCCCTGACTCAGACTAGCTCCTTCCCTCCCTCCCTCCTTCCCTTCCTTCCTTCCTTCCTTCCTTCCTTC